ATTGGGGTTATATTGGGATTATAGGCATTAGCGCATTAGCCAACCTTTCAGTTCATGCTTAAACGGAGCTGCTAAACATGGGGATATGTCATGAAAGCCAGGGCACGGTCCCAGTGACTCCCATGTACATGTCAACCTCATGGAGCACTGAAAAGTCTTTACGCCGGTGTCATCCGTTAGAACGATTGGCTTCACATGCGCAAGCTCTGCGAGGACAGGAAGGCACAGCTTCAGGCATACATCAACTTACAGAAAACCTAAGGACCTAGGTAACTTTGCCGCAAGGCGACGGATCGAAGCAATCGACTCCGCTCAAATAGTTTTCGTCATCGCCTGGCTTGAGGTGGACACCCCACATCACCGATGTTCAAATAATATGTCACAAAATGTCACAAAGCTTTCTTTGAGGCCGAGACTGCTGCCGCCACAAACGTAAATGTGACCCTGGCCACCACGAATTAAAACTCATTAAAACTCGTATTGCAGCTGCTGATTCAGAAGAACCTTAGAGTATGGCAAGGTTGCAAGGAGCCTCCAGGCAAGCTATGGCCGGCCAATTGTTGAATCCACGACGAGGTGTTGGCGCTGGAGGCCTGGCCAAAGTCTGCAGCACCATTGGACCACTGCTCTGCCTTCTGCCTGGCTGCTTGACTTTCTTAGATGCTGGCAAGGTCGTCCAGAGAGACTTCAAAGCATCAAAGCGCTGAATGCACATCCTCAGGAAAAGGAACTGCTGCATAGCGCTGCGCGGATCTTACGAAAGGAAAAGCTTCCAAGTTCTGACGGTGTCAGAGGCCATGTCAGGCCGTGTCAGGACAGCCAAAGCTGGGCAGCCAAAGCTCGCATTGTTGTCGCTCCGCGCTCCGCATACATAGAGGTAGCCTTACATCACAGCATGAGGGAGCTAGATGACTTCACCTCTGAGTGCTTGCCAAGAAGCCGTCCTGTCCCAGCAACGTTGGCCTCAGCACGGGCTCAGCACTGCTTGACAAGGAAGGAGATGCAGAATTCACCAAACCCATTTTGACATGGCCCTGTCTTGTAGCTGCCTGAAAGATCCCGTAGCAGAATGAAACAGGTTGATTGATGCCCACAGCTGTGGGATCATCTGGAGGCAAGAGCAGGGCATTGTCGGGCTCAAAAGCTTCATCACGCGGACCCCAGATTAAGTTAGGTTGCTCTTCCTGTGAGAGCATTTTGTCTTCCCTGCTCCTCCTCACCTCTTTGAACCCTTGGGAGACTGATCACACTCTCACAACTCGAGATCCGCGGACAGGCTCCAAGACCTTCGCTGCAGAGTACCGGCCGGAACGCTCGGTGCCATGGGCAGCGGAAGAATTTCTGCTTCAAACACAAGAGAAAACGATTCACGTGGGCTTGCAAGCTCATCCCTCCTGCCGTTAAAAAAAAAACACTCACATGCCGATCTAGGTCCAGAGTCTGGGCGAGTCCCTGCGCCGGCGAGCATTTTAGATTCTCGCCATGCATTTCGCGGCAGAACCCTAGACTGCGAAAACCCATGCCACGACGTGCTGTTGTCAAACAAATCACAGTGATGTGCTGCACTCGCTCAGGCCATCATCCCAACATTGTATAACTTTATCTTGCTACCGAGTCCGGTGCAGGACTCAAGAGGTATATCGCAGACAAACGGCTTCGGCAAGCCCAGCAGTGGGATGTTAAGGGCCAGACATGCAGAAGGATCGAGAGCCAATCGATAATGATTTTGGAACATCCAGCGTGCTCCATCGATGGCGTGTAGGATCAAAGTGCCTTGGATGCTCGAGATAAGGCCTTCAGACTATCAGTCCTATAGATTGCCACACGCTATGACAATCCTGTTACAACTAGCTGCCGGGTTACGCAATCTTCTCCATGGTGAGGTTCTGATTGCACCCCGAGACGAAAAGCGCCTGCGAGTCTGAGTGGCCTCAGGAAATTACGCGCGGCCCTGAAGCCGCGCCTCCGCATGAAGCGACACACCTCGCACATACTCGCACGACCGTCAGAAGTGGATGGTAAGCCCCAGTTGCCGAAAACCGCTGCCCGTGAGGCATCCCGAGATGAGTTGGACAGTTCACGGAGCCGGCATGTGCCAGCAAGGCACAAGAAAGACCTGCATTCTGCAATGAATGCCTTTCATGTCCAAGTGTTTTGACTTGTGCAGCTCCGGCTGGGGCGCGAATTGCGGCCAAGTGGCGACACCGCTGAAGCCAGCTCTGCAATTCTAAAGACATCAGCCCTCAGTGGTTGAAAGGTCGCAGAGGTAGCTTTAATGTTTTCGTGACCGAGACAGCACCTAGAAGCCTAGAAGCCTAGAAGACAGCCTGAGCCTCGCTCAGCCTCGCATGGGACGGATATGGATGCGCTCTGCGCACGGCCTCAAAGCGACGTCGGTGCAAGGTGGCCAGGAAGGTATCCCGCCTCTCCACACACAGGCTTGCGGGCAGGCTGCCCCAACAAAAAATGAACCAAAAAAAAAGCGACATGGGCAGGCCTGAGCACTCCGGACCTGCATTGCATGGTATAAACTTAGTATAGACTTGAGGATACTTGAGGATACCCTCTAGCCTTTGCCTGAACAGGCAATCGCACAGAGCTGCGAACTCATCAGGCCCATCTAGCTTTTCTGCGCCCATCGCGCAAGTGGTTGGATTTTCCTTGCTGAGTAGATCTGCCTGTATGGGGGAGTTCAGCAAATCATGACGTAGCTTGTTCCTCGTTCTGATCTTGTTTGTTGCAGTGTGTTGCAGGGCTGGCAAAGAGCCAGGGTCGCGAAACTGGTAGCAGGCCCCAGCGGCGCGGTGCTGACAACTTTTCTGCTCGCTCTCCACACTGCTGGTGAGATCCATCAGGGCGCCAGGATCCAATTGAGGATCCCTTTCATTGTCATCCGCACAGCACTTCCAGGCTCCATCCAAATGCCCATCACGTCCACCTGGCTACATTGAATGCTGGCAAGCAGCACAGACAATCCGAAACACAACACGATCAATGCATCGTGTTTTGGGAGGTTGGGAGGAAATCAAGAGCTCTCAACCATTCTCAGCTGACCTTGGCGCGCAGCCATGAGCTCTGGCAGGACATGCGATGTTGGCACTTAGCGTTCATGAAGTAACCGTCCAGCTTCCTGACGAATGAAAAGTTAGGCAAAAAAGCCACACGGAACAGGCTCCACAAGCACCGCCCGGGCCTTGTTCATCAGGCGTAGCTTACTCCTGCAGCAGAAGCAGACACTGAGTCACCTTCACAGACAGCTTGAGAGCATTTCAGAGCTAGGCCTACTTGGCCCGGCCCGGCCTTCCTCGAGCGACTGCCGCTCCGAGGGCGCGACTCCTCAAAGAGCAAAGCTCGATTTTCGTGTCAACCACGCTGTCGACGGAACGCAGTTGAAGGCAACAAGGAGTGTTTAATATTGTTTAATTGCGTATGACATACACAGCCTTACTCGTGGCCTTGCCATCTTTGCCAGCGACGCTCAGGCTGGAAGCTCGTGCACGTGTCGGCTCCTCGCGCATGCACTCGCATAGTCTTGCATAAGTATATCTTGCTGTAAACCCTGCATGCCAAAACAAACTCAAACTGTTTCTGCCGCGTCTCCCTGCTGCTTGTGCTTGGGCTTCGTTTCCGCGTCACCTCCTTCCAAGGCAAAGCACAATGCTACCACAAACAGTATAGCCGCCATTGCGTTATCTCCTTGCTGCCTGCGCGTGCGGAAGAGACCCCCTGCAGCAAATCAAGTGGAACAGGCAACATGTGCGAACCAGTACGAAGCACACCAAGACACATGCTTTCTGCCTGGGGATTCAGCAGTGTGCGGCTGTTGCGAGGCTCTGGACGCACATCCTTCAGGCAATGGGTTGGGAGGTGCAGACAGTTTCGGAACCGAGGTGACGGCAAAGCTACTTGAAGGAGGTCCGTTCCTTCTCAAATAGCCAGGGCCCGAGCCGCATTTGAAGTAACAGCCCTGGCTGATCGGCTCTTATGCGCAGCTTCCTGAGAGTCTCTGCCAGGTGAGGCTGACAAAGCGCCATCGCAGCTTTTCATTTCGCTAGCCTGCTTCTCCACAGAAGAGATCTTCCACTCCTTTGCCCAGCAACGGCACATCATTTGCATCGTAGCATGCACGCATGCAGCATCATGCAGTCCACTTGGCCTGCACGACGTTGTCTACCTGAGTGCCGGGAAAATTTGCAAACTGGGCTGCTTTTGTTGGATGTGGCTTCTGGAGCTCAGCCTTGTCGCTGATCAGGGCCTTCTTCCACCGCTTCGCTGCCTTCGGACACAAACAGCTCCGACGTGATCCGACACGTGTGGCAGCGTGGCCCCAGCCTGGCTCTGAGCCTTCTTCTGCCTTATACTCAGGTATCCGAATGCGCTATCTTCAGCTCTCACAGATGTCAATTTGAGGCGCGTAAGCTGATTCAGCTGTTCACACCAGGACAGCAGTTGTGGCATTTTCCCCCTCATTTGCGACAAGTTGCGGTTCTGGCTCAGCGATATCCGTCTGCTGCTGCATCTGCGGGAGGGGTGGAATGCTGAAACAGAGTCGGGCAGAACCGCTGGTGCAGTTTGCGTGGGCTTCGGCCAGCTTTTTTTAGCATCCCAGAAGTCCGCGGCTTCCGGGCCAAGGCCGCTGGAAGACCAGCACCGTTGTCTTCAGCCACGGCCTGCAAGGCCGGCAACGCTTCATGGAATGATGGCAATCTGCCGCTCACCTTTTCTAAGGCTCTGGCAACGTTGCTGCAGCTCGTAGCTCTGCGCTCTTCTCAGGGAGGCCTGGGCAAACTATGAGGATTTCTTGAGGATGCCGTTAGCTTGTCTCATGAAACGAGAAAGTGAAAGCTGGATGCACTTGGGAAAGGAAATGAAATCAATGCTGCGCAGTTTGTTGATCGCGGAAAGTTCCAGCACCAGGGCCGTGAGGCCCCGAAGCTCTTCATTATCAGAATCGAGGTTCGTTAACATAGACGTCCCAAGTTCCGGGACCGCAGTGCTCTGCGCATGATCGGGCTGTGACGCTTGAGGTAAGTCAGTTGCCCAAAACCTGCTATGTAAAGATGTGTAAAGACTCAGCCGGCATCGGCCTCTGCGGCATCTGCTACTGACAGCCCGGAGCCAAGCTGAATGCTGAAACTGCGTTGCTGTACAGGCAGACCAAGGCAGGCAGAAAACTCTGCAAAGCTGGCGTTCCGTACGCTGGCTTCCTTCAGCTCTTGCTGCTCGAGCTCAGTCCCCGAGGCCACGAGGACGCAACATCCAAGCTTGAATACATTGACCAGAACCAATGACATCATCAGCGTGAAGCACAAGGCTCCACCAATGGCAGTCACCACTTGCAGCGACTGCTCAACCACCGTCTGTAAACCCAGACGCCAGAGCCCGAAGCCCTGCAATTGGTAAAGCAGCTCCTGCCAACTGTACCACCAAGCGTAACAAACAAGCCAAGAGCCGAGGGTCAGGAGCCTGTTCGAAAAAATCCGCTCTGGATGCCATGTTGACCGTTCAGCCAGACATATCACAATGCCAGTCATCAAGCCGGCGTACAGAAATGCAATCGCCAGGCCAAAGCCAGTGCTCCCTGTGCGGTCAGCAACGACTTGCGTGCCAAAGTAGAAGCCAGCATCAGTCACTGCGTAGCCTGTAATCCAGAACAGCGGGCAGTACAGGTGAGGCACTTCCGGTCAAAGGCATCATGGATGTTTTCGTTAAATCAACTACCAAGGAGCCGGTGATGACGATCACCATCATCTTCATGGCAATAAGTGCCCTCCGACGGTGAGAGCCATACCGCTCTGCTGGCTCCGGCAGGCAGCACAGCAGCAGAAGGCCTGAGGCCGAACGCTTGGAATCTGGAACGTGAGCAATGTCATGAAGACTCGCAGCAAGCTCAAGACTCAAGATGTGCGATGCAAACCCCAAGTACGCGGCCAGCGAGCAGAGTCACAGCCTGCGTCATGGTAAGAGTATTGCACAGCATTGCACAGTGTCTCAGATGGCAGCATTTGGCAAATAATTAAGCCTAGCAGCAGCCTTTACCAAAATCAATCTGTATCCTGGGCCGTCAGTCTCCAAATCCTCAGGTCGACCATTCATCTCATCCTGCAGCGTTTTGAACCTGTGCAAGGGCCCATCTCTCTGATCCAGGCGACGCCAGACAAGCTCCTGCGAGTCTTGAAGCAAAGCTTGGAAGTGAGGTCCTCCCGGTCCTCCCGGTTGCGGCCGCGGACCGTGCGAGCTCCGCTGTAACTTCTTCAGGAAGCGGTTCCATACCGAATTCCAGAAATAGCCGAGAGTGGACCAAAGCGAGTTTAGCAGTATGACCCTGACCGCTCCGCCGTAGGAATTTTCTGGGGTCTGAGGATCCGGCATCTCCTGAAGTTGCTTTTCCAGGAGCGTTTGCCCGACAACGAAGAGGATAGTGATGCCGGCCGCTAGAGTTATGCCAGTGGGTCCCGGGGAGGTGAAGTCCGACACATAAGGGAACAGAAGTGCCACCAGACCGGACCAGCTGGTGCCAACAACTGTCCCTGTCATGCTCATCAGAAGTAGCCGACTCATTCGGAAAGGCCGTGCCCAGAAGCATCCGTCCTGGAGTTTGTGGCGGACCAGTGGCATGAGGGCAGTAACCGTCAAGGTGTAAATGCCCCATCCCAGGATGGATTCGGAGTACTGAGGCAGCGCAAGCCTCAGCTATGTCGCCTGCTGACCCAAAAGCCAACTACCCAACTCTTCTTTGGACTGAACGCAAGAAAAATGAGCGCAGGAAAAGTGACTTGAAGACGTAGCACCTCAGGCATCGCAACTTTCTGACTGATGCTTGCAGGGCCTCCGGCCGAGGCAGAGAAGCGGCAATGGGCAAAGAAGCACAGGCAATCACACACCAGTTTGACAGTGAAGATGGAAGCAAAGGGCCGAGGGCAGCAAGGAAAAGCATTTAAATTGCAACGTAGATTGCATGCATGACGTCTCGCTGCAACCCAGGCGCCAGTTTACAGCAACAACAATGGCCAGCACCCAAGTGAATACCTCTGTGCAATGTGGCCAAGAGAAAGATTTGCAACTGACTGAGGCAATCTGCAGGTTTTCTATCAAGAAGATGCAGCCGAGCGGCAAAGTGCAACTTCAGAATTGCTGAAGCATTTTTATCCGCAACCATTGCAACGCATGCAACTCGATTGATATCTGTCCTAATCCTAGGCGTAGCTCTTGCGTTTCGGTGATCTCAAGACGTGAAAATTCAGCCGCATGTGATTTGGCTGTGGCTTTGCACTTTGCTTAATGGGCTTGACTCCTGCGACTCCCGTGCGCATTGGTTCAGCTGAGCCGAAGCGAACATGCAAGACGCCCGTGCACGGCCGTCGTTTATGGGTGGCACAAGTAGACTTCCTGAGTCCACAACTTTCGAAACCACGCTGTTTCATCAAAGCTTCAACCTCGCACGGCAGACCGATGATGTCAAACAAATACTTCTGCATTAGGTCATCGTTGCCTCTTCGGACGTGCGGAGGTTGACGTGGCCTTCTCCAGCCTACAAGGTGGAAACCGGATGCCGCGAGCACTAGCATCATGGAATCATGTAGGCAATCCCACAGAAAATGCCAAGCATGTCGTACTAGTAACATGTACTAACCCACTTTTTTAGAGCCCTTTCCCATGATCACTCTATGCTCGCATTATCGGGGAACAGCTACAACGTAAGCAGCACAAAATCTTGGTGGATAAGGAAACCATACATGTAATTCGTGGTTCAACCTGATTCAGGCTGCTCATGGAGGTGCTTGTGAGTCAACTGGCAGCGGTACGTGAAATCTGCACAGACATCATCAGACTTCATATTCGCGAGATTTATGGGTCGTCTTTTAAGCACTAGGTCCTCAATGCTCCGACCCTCTCAAAGCGAATGACAGGGATAGTCCCGTGTGGTTGATTCATAGGCTGCCAGCGAGGATTAGGGCGAACTGCAATTACACGGCATTTGCTGTTCTATCCACTTCAGCGGCTTCCAAGCCAGTACCTTGCATCGCGGAAGGATTTCGGATCTTCACTTCATGCTTTTTCATTTACTCCACGGACAGCACCCGCAAACCATATCATTCATTTCTGGCATTTGACGCGCTGCGATGGCTTTTGCATCACTCCAGCGCTTTGCAGGATGATGTGGCGAAATAGTCGCTTGATCTGTTCTGATGATGCATACTCAGGAGCTCTGGACCCGAAGCTTTTCTGGCAGGTTCTGTTGATATCGGTGATAGACTTGATCTGGCGCGGTTCACAAAATTTGTATTTCTTTCTAGTAGTCTAGTATACGTACAGTCACGATATGATCACTGCAACTGCCATGACCGAGGGGAGGTGGCAGCACTGGGAGACAGCCCTGTCCAGTCTGCTTCGAACGCTGGGCAGGGTGGGAGCAAGGGTCGAGCTGGCTGCGTCTGGTGAGCTGAAATTTGGATCGGCTTGGCTTGGCTTCATGTTTGCGAAGAGGCCGACATTAACAAGAGATTGCTTCAGAACTCAATGCATACTTTACCAGTACCAGCCAATTCCGAGATTAGCAGAAAGCACACCTCAGGGGCCGAGGACAGCAGCATTGCGCATGCTACAGTCATGGCTATGTCGGGTTCTCCAGCTCCAGCCTGGTTGCCCCAGGACAGCACCATCCCAGAGCAGGTATGCCTCTGCATCTTCAATTTAGGTGAAAGTCGTGTGGATGAGCAGAAAAAAGGCCTCTCCAAATTATCCAGGAAGGAGGTCTCGAATTGTCGGGGAATGTGCTCCGCGACTTCTAGGGACAGCACCTGTCTTACGGCTAGGGATCAAGACTATGCAAGGGCAGAGAAGCTTTGGGCCAGACCCAATCCCATCTGGTCCCCAAATCCAGATCCTTGCTGAGATCAGCCTTATTGCGATTCACTGTCTTTGGAGCTTGAAGGCGTTTGAATGTGGCCATTGAAGTAGGAGCCGTGCCTGAAGACATCGGCCGTCAGTAATTTCCCAGGTCGCTGGGTTTCCTTGCGGAGAGTGGGACATTGAGTTAAACCCAACTTTGACCACGCAACAGGTCGCGTCTCCATCGAAACCGCCGGATCTGAAGCCAACCCTTCGAAGGTCACGAACCTAAGCTGCAGGCAAAACCAGGCTGACATGTGCAAACACTGTGGTGGGCAATTCAGAGCATACTGGTTCAGGCCGCTGGCGTACAGCCCGAGTCCACATCCGAAGTCAGCAACAGAGGTCACCTGGCTCCAATGGGAGAGTATTTGCTCAAAGCAATGGAAGCCCGCCACCTCCCTCGATTTGAAGAAGGTGACCAATGCATCGGCAAATGGCCTTAGTCGGGGAAGTGAAGGCCATCAGGCCGTCAAGAGCCTAAAAATTTCCAGGTTCCGCACCTGTCATGCATGTGGTATCCAGCGGCTTCTGTGCCCACCCACCTAAGAGACACCAAAGTCACCAGACTGCCGTTAATTGTTCTCCACAAATAGGCTGGGCGCTAGACGCTCCGCTTGGCGCAAT